AGAAACAGTCGACCACAGGTACACGAAAGGACATAGTAATTCAACGTATTAAATAAAACCATAATACAATGTAATGAAGGCCGTGATCCCCGAGACCAGGCGACAGACATAATCGATCAGATGGGCGTAGCGAGATTGCATCCGACCGTCGCTTAATCACACAGACCACGACCGGAAAGGCTATAAGGCCGATTTTTCCCTTTTGATAAGCAACATATCGTCATCCCGTCGTTTCCTTTCCTCAACCGAAGTTTCCTCTAAACTTTCCTTCACAGCTTCTTCGATCATTCGATCTTCCTCGAAACACGAGAATGGTATCGCTGAAATTAAACTTTCATATCCAACCCGACGACCCACCTCCTACCAGCGTCGATCAATCGGTCATTTCCAAACTTAATGTGATCTCGACGAGGAGGCGCCGGGATCGGTATCAAATCCCGAACCTAAAAAATATCTTATCGAAATCGATCCATCAAAATATCTCATTCACTACCTCGTTGCGTGTCGACTCCTCATCAGCGGCGTTCGCCCTCTCCTCACTACACGGTGAGAGGCTTTCCAAATCTAAGATTCATCATCCAAAATCTTCGCTGTGCGTAACACATCTTACCCAATATCGCATCAACTGTCGCCTCACATCCCAGAGTATTGATGAAAAATATCGCAATCGAATGCATCAAGAATTTCGGCCTAGTCGAGTTGTGGTTGCCGTCCACTTTAACCTTACAAAAATTATCATCCCTAAGGGGGATCGATCAACCCTGGTATTACCAGATTTTTATCACCAGCATATTTTTCAAAGAGGGTATCAGTATTACGTGGGTTGACGAAAGTATCGTTTCGAGCCGCCGTAAACAAAGCCGGAATATACGTTCGATCGACCTGGCACGAGAAATGGTCTCTTTTCAGACCTATTTTGTATCTTGCACGCTCAACCTCAAGATACTCACATGCGCAATAGGCTGCAAGTCGAATATGTCGAAATGGGCCTTGCTTCTAACAGACAACCTCAACATTCCCAACACAACACTGAGCATTATGCCCGGCAGTCTCAACCCGAGTTCTTCAGCTAAATCACTCGCCAGTGTTCGGATGTCCGCGAACGCCGAGTCTATCTGAAATCAACAAGGAAACATATTTTCCGAACACCCTTGTGTGTTTGCATATTCCCACTCTACCTACATATATGGAGTGTAGTACGTATATCTAAAAGTCCATCACTTGGGGAACCGTCATCTATTACTAGAGCTCTTCACCGTTGGAATATTTGTCCGCTATTCTCAGCTGAGCTCAGGAGTTTCCTCGCTAGTTATAGAAGTTCACATACGAATTGTGTACAGAAACCAACCAAAATTCCCCCAAATTTCCCCCAGTTTTCATACCGTCACCAACACATGTAGTTGACCATGTGCATATATCCTCACCCCGCGTTATTATTACCACCATCCCAGCTATACTAGGGTCTCTGTCACCATGCAGCAGGGCAGTCACCGCTCCCATGCTGCGACCCCAAAGGCCAATCCTGCCTAATACACTCAGCATCCACATACGACCAATACCGCCAGCACCACCTCACTCACTCACGCGCTCAGATCCTCGTAAATACTCCAATACGGTCGCTAAGTCCTCCTTCTCGTAATATCTAAAGACGCTCTCTAGTGGAGCTATCTATGG